GAAATTTGGAATTTCCGGGGGTAAGGGGGAAGGTCTTTAAAAAAATTCCCCCGTGGGAGGGGAGGGGGGGGGTTGTAGTAGAATAATTTCTGGAAGTACACAATGATCGATACGTGTACATATAGAAGAAATTTACTTCTAGTAAGAGGATGTTTTTTGAACCCCATACTAGCCCTACCCTGTATCTCCCAATGTATGACATTTGACTTAATACATGTGTATAATGCAAGGTTTCTCTGGTTAATTCAATTTTCTATTGATTTGCCAGTATCTAACATCACTGAGTATGCTGACACATGCAAGACATGATACGACTATTGGTATCCCACCACCAAAGTGAGTAAAATTAAAATAAATTTCTTGGTATCATCAAACTAAAAGAATTCCTGCATTCTTGGTCTGCATTCCTTATATAGCCTGTACCTGATACTGCTTATGTCTTCATGTAACTGTCCTTTTGACTTTTGATTTTTTCAATTTGCTTCAATTTCAGAGTGTTCCTTGCCATGTTGCACATCAATGTYATTAACTCCCAGAACTCATTACAAGACCTGACAGCTGCGGCGCATGCACAACATGCTTCCATATGGCAGACATATGGAAAATGGTAATCACATGGATCCTATATTATTTTTGCTTTCATTGAAGTCTCAAACTACTGCAGAATTACATCATATGATGTATTGACTGATTGAGACTGCTGTTTGGATGGATGGATGGTTGGATGGAGGGAGGAAAGGAGGGAGGGAGAGATAGAGATGGATGGATAGATGGGATAAATGGGATGGTCAGATGGATGGATAGGATAGAGGGATGAATGATGTTGATGAATGAAATAAATGGGATGGTAAGATAAATGGATGGATAGAATAGACAGATGGGTTAGATTGATGGGATGGTTGGGATAAATGGGATGGTCAGATGGATAGATGGTTAGGATAGAAGGATAAGACAGATCTTATGAGAAGTTCAGAAGGATGGATGGATAGAATAGACAGATTGATGAGATGGATGTGATGGATAGGATAAATGAGATGGACAGATGGATTGTTGGATAGGATGCAGTAGATGGATAAAGATGGATCTTATGGGAAGGTCAGAGGGATGGATGGATGTATGGATCGATGGATGGATAGGATGGATGAATAGATGGGTATAGATGCATGGGTGGAATAGAGAGATGGATAAATTGGATGTATGGATGAGATGGATGGTTGAATGGAAGAAAGGATGGATGAGATGCATGGTCTTAACATACCTTTGATAAATTATACAAAGACTCCTGACCAATGATCCAAGGGTAGGATTAGAATGTTTGATGCTTGAGGCAAGAGTATCTGGTTCTTTATCACTTTCTATCATTTCCCCTAATCATTCTGATATTTCTGCCCATTCAAGTCGCTTTAAATTCATGATAAAAATTTTCATTTCAGCCATGTTGCTAATGTGTTCAGTCAATTACAACTCAATCATAACAACCAAAAACAAAGTGTATTGTCAACCAATGATGAACAAGATAATAAAGATCTACACAATGGAGAAGCTACTTGCCTGTCGTTGTGCAGTCTTGCTAAAATACATGCTGATCAGGTAAGCTATTATAATTATATATTTTTATCACTGTCGCTGTTATCATCCACATGGTCATATTATTATCGCAATCACCATTCAGAATATCATGATTGTAATTCTTGTCATCAGCACCATCATCTTTACCGGCACAATCATCAATAAAGAATGACCTTATCATCACCATCATTATAAACAGTTTGATTATCATTTTCATTAGACATCATAATAATATTCTGTTGAAAATGACTGATTCATCATTACCTGTCCAGTAAAATTGATTGTATATTAGCTGCTACCTTTATTGATTTTTGTTATATTCCCAAAGGGTATGTATCAAGAGGCCTCAGAAATAATTAAGTTCTGTAAAGACCAATTCCCTCAGCCAGTGGCTCTCTCTAAGGTACAGCACACATTAATTAATATACAGATTACTAAACAGTATGATCATGACTTGTACATGTATGATGATAATGAGATAATTTATTTTAGTACAATTACCGAAAAAGATAGTGATAAGCTTATGTTACTTTGTTTTCTACTAGTTTATCCTAAATATGACCCTTGACACTCCATAAAATCAAGCAACATGCTAAATTTCAATTCAATCTTTTGGTTAGCCTTGCTTGACACTTAGATTTATGTAGTACAGTATTAGCCCATGGGTTGTTTAAGGGTTTGCATAATCTTAGACAGGAGTTTTAAAGCCACACCCTGACTTAATGTAATATCAGCCCAGTCCATTCAATCTATGAGTTAGCCATGCCTTGACTTAGATTGATATCAGCCCAGAGGTTGTGTCAGGTTTTCATAAATTGAATGTTTGAGGGATTGAACGATGCTTTAATAATGTTTTATCCCCTTCCTATAGTTGTGGATGAGGACAGAAGCCATCATTGATCATAACATAGCACTACAGAAATGGCAACTAGAAGAAGCAGAAAAAGCTGTCCTAAAGTTGGCAGCATTAGATGAGACAGAGGCTTCTTACAGGTACAAAACACTGAGTACACACTGTAAAGAGCTCTTTTACTCCGACGAAGGACTAGCGTCCGAAACGTCAGTAAGTTTTTTCATCTTTTCACGGTGACGTGTATAATTTACCTTTTCATCATTACTGTTTCATTAGAAACACCGACGCAGCTCACACTAGTTTTTAGCTAGTTATATCTTTTGAGTACACACCGAGTATACTTATGCTTAAAATGCAGAGATACTGTTTATGATTACAAAACAAATGCACCCTTCTTAAAATTGTTTTGAATGAGACATGAAAATACAAAAGAAATGCTACAAATTCCATCTAGAAAAAGTGTGATTTGTTTTGTGTTTCTATGTTAGCCTTGCAACCAAAGGATCCATGGGGCTCATTTTGATGTGTTGTTATGATCTCTTGCCACGAAAAATTAACATGTGAGTTGAGAGAAGAGTGTGGAGTGGTTCACATACTTTGAAACTTTAGATTCTGTGGACACGGCAATGCTCTTCAGTATAAAAACAAAATGAAACCAAACAGATCTGATTCAAATGAAGAATCTCAGCCCAGAGCCTATGGACATCACAATTCATGTAGTGCAAAAAATGCAAAAACATTTAGAACTATGATGTTCCTCGAAATTCTTTAGAAAATTTCTAAGAATTATTGCAGCAGGAAGTTTCAAGCTTTCTTGCAAGAGTGATGTAGCATCTATGAGAGTGATTTTGAAACATTTAAAAAAGCTGTTGACAGTGGTCTACTAGATATGTCAAGTGATTACAATGAACCTCATTATGTTGTGTTGTGTGACAAGTGGCTGCAGTGATTGTCATGATGTTGTGTTGTGTGACAAGCACCTGCAGTGATTGTCATGATGTTGTTTTGTGTGACAAGCACCTGCAGTGATTGTCATGATGTTGTGTTGTGTGACAAGTGGCTGCAGTGATTGTCATGGTGTTGTGTCGTGTGCCAAGCACCTGCAGTGATTGTCATGTTGTGTTGTGTGACAAGTGGCTGCAATGATTGTCATGATGTTGTGTTGTGTGACAAGTGGCTGCAGTGAATGTCATGGTGTTGTGTTGTGTTATATAAACAGATCTGCACTAAATATGATCCATAAAGGCAACACAGCTGAGGCATTTCCACTTCTACAAAAGCTGTTACAAGATTGCCGGTAAGTTCCACTGTATTCATGTCAGTAGGTTGTTGGTAGTTTGTTGGTATAAATCATATTGGTAGATCATTGTTGGTAGGATGATGGTAGGGTGTCAGTAATTTAGTGGTAGGATGTACATCTACTCTTTGATTATATTCTACTCCAATTACACATTTTAAAAACCAACACATTTATTAATCATTGACATGTGTCAGTTTTCTAAAGTACAGCTGGATTAGAATATTAAATTAAGCCTATACATGTAGCCTAGTCTTCTACAGCTGTATTTCAGTTTTGATCCCCAAGCATCATTTGAGATGTATGATTTGCTGTATTTTCTTCCCAATATTATTATTTGTTGCACTGTGGAATAAAAAAATGATTCCCATAATTTTAATTTTAATTTGTATGTAGGAAGAAAACAAAAGTCAATATTGATGAAGGCCAGAAGTCAAAAGCAGAACATCATACAAAGTAACTAACTACATATTAATAATTTATTATTATCATATTTAATATAAATATTTATTATTATAAGTGCATTTGATAATTAATTTTGAAATCACATGCACTCATCTGGTTAAGTGTAAGCAAATCCTGTAAATCTGATTCATAAAAATTAGATGGTGCGATTCATGTTTCCATTCATTGATTTTGAATCATTGGTTGCATCATTGCAATTGAACTAGTTGCATGAAAAGCCGTTAAAATTGTTGTAATCCCTACCCTTGGCTTGGGTAACATCAACCTTGAATTAACAATCAGTCACTCATCTGGAGCTATATCAAGACCATAAAGTTTATTTAATTAATGAATTATTTAATAGGCTCTTTGTTTTTTTCTATCTTTCTTAGTAGTGATTGTAAGTTTGTACATCTTTTATTTCAGTGTTTTGCTTGCTYTGTGTAAACTATATACAGTGTCAGGGAATCCCCTTTCTGCCATGCTTCATCTCCTTGACTGCCTCACTCTTGCTTGTTCACACTACTTGGAAGAGAGTGATACTTTTTTATATCTTTTATTTCAGTGTTTTGCTTGCTTTGTGTAAACTATATACAGTGTCAGGGAATCCCCTTGCTGCCATGCCTCATCTCCTTGACTGCCTCACTCTTGCTTGTTCACATTACTTGGACCACACGGCTGCTTTGGCCTCTTTGTGTATTGGACACCTTCAGGTCAGTATAATATATTATATATATATATATATATATATATATATATTGATATTGTATTCCGATCAAGCTACTTTTAAGAGGCATAAAATGTGCCTCAGTCAAAGCTG